AGACAAGACAAAATGGTTTTAAACTGAAAGAGATTAGTTTTAGATTAGGTATGAGGAAAAAATTCTTTACTATGAGGGTGGTGAGGCAATGGAACAGGTTTTCAAGAGAAGTTGTGGGTGCCCCATCCCTGGAAGTGTTCAAGGACAGGTTGGATGGGGCTTTGAGCAACGTGGTCTGGTGGAGGGTGTCCCTGACTCGTGACAGGGGGTTGGAACTAGATGTCCTTTAAAGTTCCTTTCAACTCAAACTACTGCAGTATTAATTACCCTAACGTGCTATGCAGTCCTAAGTAATCAGCATTAGTATGTTAATGAATGTAATGACATGTTTGTGCTATGGAATAGGTTATATGGGCTAATGATGCCTAAACTCTGTTTTTTGATTGTTTTGAGTTGTATATAGAGAACAGGAAGTGAAAGCAATTTATGCAATTATATAGATGGTCTAAGAGACCAGACCTGACAGATCATGGGTTTCAGGGGAGTGCTGTTTATATGCCTCAAATGTACTCTTAGGCAGGCAGTTGACTCCAACAACCCAGAGAACCCAGAGACCACTCCGAAATACATCACCCACAGGGTTTTCCTAATGTTGAGAGTTTTTGTTGGGTCACTGTTTTTACTTTTTTGATTATAGGTCATACTCTGGCAGTGATCTAGGGGTGCAATCTAACCTTGGAATTGGCAATTACAAAACTCTGCCCTGCTTTCTAAAATCATGTCAACAATGTGCTCATCAAATGCTCCCAAGATTGTCATAAAGTGGAGCTGATGGAGGGATTTTTGAAGCACTAGTAAAGTTTTGATTCTAAGTACCAAAATCAGCTTAGTTCCATATCTATCTATCTATCTATCTATCTATCTATCTATCTATCTATCTATCTATCTATCTATCTATCCAATCTGTAAGAATTCCTGGTAAATATTCTCATTGAACAAGACAGTTCCTTTGCAAGGCTGAGGATGAAAACCTGTAATGCGTTTCTGAGTATAGGTAACAATTCAGTCTTTGAAGGTTTTATTGCACTCGGATGACCAGGGTATTGTAAGAAACAGATTCAAAAATAGCAGATTCGAGACAGGGCAGTTTGGCAGAGCAGCTCTGTGGGGAGCTGAAAGAACTCCAGGAAACAGACTCAGTTTGGCCTAAGTTTTAGCTGAGTAAGGCATGATTAACAGGATTTTTTAAAAAAGCATTTTTAGAGACTGTTGAAACCATCTATTTCCCTTGAAGGAAATCAGACATTAGCAAGTTTTTCACTAATTCTAAACTAAAGCTCATGGTGTCACATTTAACCTGTGTGGTGCAAACTTGCCTGCTATTCACTTTGGAAACCTTTCTAGGATTTAATGATCATCGTATTCATCTGTTCTGCCATTTCAATGTAAAACTAGGTGTCTGCTTTTCATGTCAGCTGGGGTGAGAATGTTGGAGAACAGGATAGAGAATTAATTGGAAAATTAGCATAGACTGAATTTCACAGTGTGAGCTGTAAGTGACTTGGCTAGGAAGGCTGGAAGTGTTTAGTGGAGGATGTGGCAACATGGAGGGTGGGCATGGGCTATAAATGCCTGGGGGCAGAAGGATGTTTTGGAACGTGGAGAACAGGTGGAATTCATGCCATGGTGATACATGGCATTACTAAGTCTTTTTTTTTTTCCTTTTTTTTTTTTTTTCCTCTCCAATGGCTTTGTGTTTTTGTGCTAGGCATAATGCAGAGGATCACTTTCACTGAGTCCAACTGTGTTTTAGCAGATAATTGATTAATGGTGTGAATGTATTGGTTTACTTGATTTACAGTTCTCAGAGTATGGTCTGTAGGGACAGGACAAGGGGCAACAGTTTTAAATGGAAACTGGGTAGATTCAGAGTAGATATAAGGGAGAGATTTTTCACTGTTAGGGTGGTGATGCACTGGAACAGGTTGCCCAAAGAAGCTGTGGATGTCCCATCCCTGGCCAGGCAGAGTGGAGAGAAGCACTGAGCCAGGCAGGTAAGGTGTTTCCAAAAGGTATGGGCCTGGCATCTCTGATACCCCAGGGAGGGCAAGGGCTCGGCCCAGAGCTGCCAATGGAGAGGAGCTGGTGTCTGGGGCACAGAAGGCTGGTGTCTGGGGCACAGAAGGCTGGTGTCTGGGGCACAGAAGGCCATCACAGTGCAGCTGAGGTCCTTTCCCTGGGGAGGAAAGGACACCGGAGCTGGGGTCTGCTCTGGTGGGGTCCCACTGGGAGAGAGTGGGGAAGGGGTGGCTGGGGGGCTGGGTGGGAGGTAAGGAGCTGCGTGTGGTGCTAGGGCTGGATGCAACCAGCTTGGCTGTGAGAGCCTTTGGCTTCCCTCAGCCCTGAAGGACCTCGAGGTTTAGTAGTTGGGGTTTGCTTGTGTTTAACAGATGTCACAACTCAAGGTCTCAGTATTTCCACCTCCGTCCCCTACATTTTCCTCTTTAATTATTTTTTGTCAATTCATTTTGGCACAGTTTTGGAAAACAAAGTGCATCTCAGGTTACAGTGTGTCAAAACAGGACCAGAAGAACTGAAAAATACAATAGCACTGACAGCAGCACTGCAAAGCTCATTCTCTCTTTTACTGCTGGGGAAAGGGGGAAATTGCATACAGCAGCAATGTCAGTGGTGTAAAACAGCAACACTCTTCTTACAAATGATTGATATAGGAGGAATTTATCTTGAGTACCATGAGGCAGCAATGCCTGCTAGGAGTTTTCAACAAACACAGGAGCCTTACTAAAATTTTTTTTCCTACCTTCTTCCTAGCTTTGATGTGACAGTCTCCTCCATCCCATGGTGGCTTTGAGCACCCTTCTCTTTGGCCAGGCCCAGTTGCAGCCCTTTGGAACAACTCTGTTCCTTTGTGCTTGCCTGGTCTGACTTCAGGTTGAGGTGCTGAGCATGGAAGTCCTTGCTTTGCCCAGGAGACAGAATTGGACTGAAAACTTGATTAGCTATGAACATAGGCAACTTTATTTCAACAACTAAGTCAACTTCAGTGTTTGCCTGCACACGGAAGAGGAGTGTAGGCAGGACAAAGCAGGCTTTTGACACTGAGGCGGCCTTTGGATCAGCAGTCATTGCACCATCAGGAAATTGTGATGCACTGCAGCTCACACAGGATCCTGTCTGTCCTGCTGCTCAAGTTGTGTTTTCCTCAAAGATCTCTTGGAGGAGATCCTTCACCTGAGTAAAGAATTTCACCAGCTCATCGTTTGGAAACGGGCAGGAGCTAACTTGGTCCGATGATGTTGGTATTGGCTTTGGCTTCTCTGAGGCTGGTGGTTTTGTCCATGGTGGGTGTGCGGCAGTTGGCTTTGTCCCTGGTGGTTGTGTGGCAGGTGGTCTTGTCCATGGTGGTTGTGTGGCGGGTGGTCTTGTCCATGGTGGTTGTGTGGCAGGTGGTCTTGTCCATGGTGGTTGTGTGGCAGGTGGTCTTGTCCATGGTGGCTGTGTGGCGGGTGGTCTTGTCCATGGTGGCTGTGTGGCGGGTGGTCTTGTCCATGGTGGCTGTGTGGCAGGTGGTCTCATCCATGGATTTTGAGTGGGTCGTGGGGCAGTTGGAAAATTACCCCAAGTCTGTGCTGCTAGAGAAGCCTTTCTATATGGGCTTGCAGCCATCTCAGCCAGGATCCAGTCATAGAAGTGCTGAGTGGAGGTGTAGACTCCGGGATGCTTTGCTCTTGCACAGCCTTCTCCCCAGCTGGTCACTCCAACAACCCAGTAGTAGTCAGCGATGTTGTCTTTGCACATGAGAGGACCACCGCTGTCCCCCTGCAGTGCAGCAGACAGGATTAAGTCATGTTGGGTGGCCCCGGTCAGCACTGGGGCTATCTCCTT